TTAACCAATAACAAGTAAATGAATGAGGTTAGATTGAAAAATAGTTTAAAAAAATAAATAAGATATCATAGCCAAATGTATTTCTTACATTTCAGATTTTTTATAAATTGGATAATTAAATTCGTTAGATTAAAATTCTTATATTTTATTATTAATTTATTGCATACAGTTTACAATTCTAATTCTTCAAATAACAAATCAATATTGCCCCCTAACATATTGAGCAATCATGAATTTTGCCTAATTTAGAATTATTGGGAGTATATTCATCCTATTTCTCTGAACATTAATTACATCTAATATCTCTAAGAAAATGTCTTTTATCACATTTCTAACTTTATGTGGATGCGTGCATAAAATGATCCTAACATTTATAACAAGAACTTAAATTATTTTAATCTTCTTTTAACTTTTATAATTTGGATCAATTTTGCATAAAATGCATCCATCTCCATATATATTATATTGTCACATTATTCATTTCAACTCTTAATTTCAATCCACATTTAGACTCTCATTTTTGTTGGTTTAAATGGTATCCTCATAATCAAAGCAAATTCCTTTCTAGCAATCAGTTCTATTCTGATTAGATTAATATTTATATTCAAAGCAACTATCATAAAGAATCTTGTTACTATCATCACATTTTTCTTTGCCTTCTATTTTATATCCACATTTAAGAATACATCCATTTGTATAATTATCATAATATAATCCTTACATAATTTCAATAATATACGTAAATGTTTTTGATTAATTCAAAACAAAAGTATTCTCAAATCTAAAACACTTACTCAATTAACAATCTAAATATTCTTTTTGACATTAATATTTACAATAATAACATCCAGCATATTTAAATTCTTTACCATCATTGCATTTTTTTTTGAAACAATCATATTATCCCCACAAATAGAATAACAAGAGTTATTTGTAATGTCAAAATAATAGCCATATCAACTTTGTAAATAATTTCATGAAAATATGTACAGCATTGAGGTTTAATAATCTAACAACTATTGATTACATTAGAGATTGGGAGATATATTTTATTTAAATTATTTTGATTATATTGTCATTTAAATTCACATTAGGTTGATACAATTCTATTTTATTTTTTTTTATTTTTAATTTGATATTCTTTGAATTATATTATTATCAGAATAACGACTTAAATATTCATATTGAATATTTGCCATAATGTGAATAGACACTAAGTTGTCTTAATTCAAAGAGTTTAATGTATTCTTATATATGATTTTAAAAAAAATTAAATAATTCACTAAATGTTTTTGTTTAGCAATTTAATAAATTTTAACTCATTAAAAAGTCGTTTAAAATAAACTTGGCCTTTGCTCCAGATGAAGATTATGTATAAAAAAAAGTAAACAATCTTTAAGATTAAGAAGAATGGTTTGAAATAATTGTATCATAACCATCACTCCTAATAAAAATAAGAAAAAGTTTATTGTAGCTCATTATTTAAATATGGGTTTAAGAAGAGCATCTGATATATGAGAGTTATCAAGCTGGAAATTCAAGGTTAAAAAATGAAATAATGTTAATATTGTTTCCAATTAAGTAGATTATTGTAACTGACAAATCAAAAACTATGCTATGGGAATATTTTTTGTTTTTAATTTATATTAACAAATCTTTGGATGGTTGAACTATCCATAAAAATTAATGGATATACTAAATTTTTTAATCAAATTAAGAAACTGCTGCGATTTTAAATAATTAAATTACCTCTTTATCAAGTACTCATTTTGTAAATTAATAAAATTTTACAATATATTAGTTATCATCTAACAAAAAATCTAACTTAATAGTCAAGTACCTTACTTAAAATTGAATAAAAGAGATACTTATGGCACAGAGTTCGTACTTAACAACCTTCTGTGATTTAAAACAGCTAAAAAGAAGCATTTGATGTTATATTCAGCGAAGTATTTATGTTTATATCTTAGATTGGTTTGCGAGGAGATCTTACAATAAAAACTATCGACAATTTTATATATATATTTTGCTGAAAATGGAGCTTACTCAAGAATCTATCTTTAATAAATACCTTGATAAGATGAACCAGGAATGAAAGTAATATTATATTGTTTGATTACAACTGGTAGAGTCTAACAAGCAAAGGCCAAAATAAGGATATGATTCTGTAAATGATTTTCACAATTATAGCTATATATTGCCTACTTAACAATAAATTTTTATTTTCTACAGTTTATAATTAATTATCAGAAGCGCTATGATATGATACTAAAATGAACTTTAAAATAATTGTCAAATTAAAAAATCATATTTTACAAAGAGTTAAGCAATTTTCGAATTTAAGATGAAATTTAATTACAGTAATATATAAAATTTTTTTGATTTTAAAGCTTTTTTATTATGTATGAAGAGATATTTTACATTTCAAAGCTAAAACTAAAATTAAAAAAAAATTTTGTTTGGAATAAACCAAAAATTTAATTTTGGATAGATCGATAGAAATTATTGATCCTTCTCAAAATATCTAAAATGATATAGAAAAAATTAAATCCCTCTAAAAGTATTGTTAAATGTTCAATAAATTGAAGTATGAGTGACGTATTTAAAGCTGATACTATATTTTGTAGCTTTAGCTTATTATTCTTAATTATAAACAACTTATTTTCTAGTAGTTATTACAATTTCTCTCATTTCTTCATCAAGAATTCTATTTGATTCTTTAACCAATAACAAGTAAATGAATGAGGTTAGATTGAAAAATAGTTTAAAAAAATAAATAAGATATCATAGCCAAATGTATTTCTTACATTTCAGATTTTTTATAAATTGGATAATTAAATTCGTTAGATTAAAATTCTTATATTTTATTATTAATTTATTGCATACAGTTTACAATTCTAATTCTTCAAATAACAAATCAATATTGCCCCCTAACATATTGAGCAATCATGAATTTTGCCTAATTTAGAATTATTGGGAGTATATTCATCCTATTTCTCTGAACATTAATTACATCTAATATCTCTAAGAAAATGTCTTTTATCACATTTCTAACTTTATGTGGATGCG